CAACTAAGTAAAAAAAGACAACGGCGTTGTGAGCCTGAGCTAGCTTGATGACAAATGTTTTTTGTAAACGAGTGGACAGGTTGTATGTCGTAGGTTGTGTTGTATTTCCGGGAAGGCGACTTCATGCTAATAACGAAGACCTTTTCCTCCAGGATGCCAAGAATAAGATGAGAAATCCAACGTTCCAACAGACCAACCAATAATATATAAGGAGGTAACCTATAGGAAAAGAGAATGACGTGAGCTGAAACCGACATGGAAACAACGGAAAAAAAGTACTAATAAATCGGGTATAAACGAGACTGGTCGACCCTTCCGGAACGGCTGTAGAGACACAGTCAGGAAAGCATTCCTAGGGGTCGGATTTGAGGAGGTGAGGGTGATGTGAAGTGTGCGATAGCTATGTATCGCCAAGAGTGCAGCGTTCGGAATTGTCGGCAATGTTCCTAAAAAGATAGAACACTGTCGTACACCGTGTATCCCTTTATGATGAACGCCTATGACTGAAAGCAGTAGATTCCCCATGAAAGTTCAACCGATCGAGCTAATAGAACTAAAGGAAGGGGCGAGGCTCAATGTGAACGAGCATGAGTGAAGAGAAGGAGGATCATATCAAAGGATTCAAGATCCCTCTCACATCACCCGACACGCTCAAATCTGCCAAAAACGCACACATGTCACCAAGCTCGGTATCGTGAATATCACTGAACCAAGAAGATACAGGTACGGCGTTGTGGGGATGGAAGATGTATGAGGCTGGAGAGTTGTCGAGGATTATGGTGTCACCTATGGGACGACCCAGCTGCGACAAATCCTATATGGCGGAAGGCCAATGAGCATGGTTGTCATGTCAGAACTTGTATGAAATATCTAACGCACTTTAACATAATTTCCTCTATGGTTATAACAACTCTCTCGGAAAAGTCGATGTGCGACTGTGCGATCTGGATCTAAACGATCCAAAACAGGATCGGCATACTATGCATTTTCGGTTAGCATATAATGACACAGACACACGCATACATAGAGGATGATAAACTTACCTTGCTTAAACTAGCAGTGAACACAACGATCTCATATAATTCTCCCATTTTCTTGAGGAAAGTATCAACACCTGGACGTTTGAGGACATAAAAGTTATGCCAGTTGAACTCGATCTCTACTGGGACGATGAAATCTGGAGAAGGAACAGGCTACAAACAAAAAGGAAAACATCAGTCAAGGATGAAAGACGGATCATGAGAAGACTAAAACTTACCTTCAAACTACTGTGAACCAGTGTCTCGTCGAGATCAAGAACAAGGCATTTACGGCCTGCGTGTTTTGGTGATATGGGTGGAAGTAATGGCTGAGGTTTCCCATCCTAAGTGATAAGGTCGATGTCAGTGTCAATCAACTAACGAAACCAGAGGGTGAAGAAAAACATATATGAAGCCTCGGATGCTCACAGGTCCCACAGGAATTCCAATTCCACCTTGCTTAATTAACCTCTGCTCCTCATCCTCCAGATCTTCCATCTTCATTCCAACACTAAATATATCCTCATCACCAATATCGCCTTCTTCCACCATTTCCTCGTCATCGTCTTCATTCACGATCACAGGATGCACATGGGCATTAACATTACTGCTAGTGGGTGTATGCGTATGACTATCTTCACCTGTTGACCCTGGTGGTTGAACAGCTCCTGAAGTCAACCCATCCGTTTCTGAAAGAGGTAGCAATTGTTTGGTAGGTGTTGGTGGTACTACTATGTCGGTCTCGATGGGGGTAGGAGGAGATGTTGGGATTGTCAAAGCTGTTATAGTAAATGTAGCAGTCGTCGTTGAAGAACCAGTCGTAGTGACGAAGGTCGCGGTGGTAGTTGTAGTAGAAGACATTGTTAGACAAGACACCGGTGAGGAGGTAGTAGCGGTAGAGGGAGAGGTTGCAGTTTGGAATATTTGCGGAGCCATTATGAATGTCGCCGGTACATGATCGTTTTGTTCCAATCGATCGAAAGAATTCCAGGGGACAGTTGGTTAAAGTTTGAGTTGCGGAAGGGGTGGTTGAATGGGATACGCGTGTTTCGTGAATGGAAAAGTGTTCAGAGAATGGGTAGAATTCCGATGGGTGGGTTAAACGAGGTAGCGTCAAGTTTAATGGCAAATAGCGGACACGCGCATTATAAGAAGAGCCAACGAGCAACCGGGGTTGATAGAGGGAGGGAGGGGAAGCGAAAACAAGAGAAAAAAACATGTGCTTTTAGTTCTAAATCAAGACGGAAAGATATATTGCGAAGTATCTCCTTACCAGTGTGCGATGAAGATGTAGGTTCCCGGGAAGAAGACGAAGGCGATGTTGATGATGTTGATGATTCACCACCATGGCCATGACCAAGAGTTGAAGCCTTCTTAACCTCCGTCTCCTTGCCTTTCTCCGATAGACTTTGTTCGACTCTGTGCTCCTCCTGTGCTTTTTCGGATATCCCAGGGACAGGGAACTTTTCCGAGACTTTCTGATCCGCAGATCTAGTTGACGGACCTTCATCAGCATCTATGGCATGTGTTCGATGTGAAGGTCGAACACAGGTCATGAATATTTGGGAGATCTTCGCTAACAACGAGGTAGAAGTTGAACGAGAAGAGGAGCTAGAACTCGAGACTTTGCTCTTCGCTTTGCCCTTTGACTTCTTCGCATTCGTGCTCCCCCCTTGACGATCTTCTTCCCCTTCACCATCTAGAACGGGCGTTTTCTCATTTGTAGATCTATCCGAAGTGGACTTGACTCTTTTCCTAAAAACATTCCGACCAACGGGTACTGGAACGGCAAGGGTATATGTGGTGGAGCCCTTATTACCACGATGGTGACCGTTACTCTTTTCCTTCTCGACGGAATGGGAACGCAAGTCAGTGACAGAAGGCACTTTAGTCGAAGACATTGTAGCAGCTTGTGTTCCACCACTAGTGGATGGAGTAGGTGGGCTGGATGTTGGAGGCTCGTCGCCTGAATCAGGATTGACAGTAACTACTTGAACAGTGGTAGGTTCGTCCTGAAAAGTGGTGGTTGTACCGTTGAGAAGGGTTGTATCTCCAGCCTTATCTGCAGCTGCAAGGTGATGATTGTTCTGAATGCTTGAAGGAGTTTGGGAATGAGGTTGAGGCTGCTCACTGGAACCTGCACCTAACGTCTGGCTTTGACTCGCTTCGGGATGAGGCTAAAATGAAGTAGTGAAGGAATCCATGCTGTTGAGAGTCACCGCGTTACTGAGAGCATGTGGACAACGTACCTCTACTTTCAACTGGGCCATCTACCCTAAGGGTCGACTTCTAAAGGAGTGAAAAAGAAAGCTTTGAAGCTAACAAAACGCCTTGACAAGATTGACCCCCAGTTAGTAAGTAGATTACAAGAAAGTGAATTTGAAAAGCGAGAAAAAATAGGGAGAGAATGGCCCGCGCACAGAAGAGAGAGCGTCCGAGACCGAGACCGACGGGTGGAGGGAGAGTTGTAAGGGAAGGAAGGTGGGAGTGAGTTGAGCGCGGGACTCTAGTGTTTCCTCTCTCGGTCACTTTCACTTTGATACTCGATTTCAATTTTCATAAAATTCATTCTGCTCTGATTTGTCGGCTGTCGGCTTGGGTCGTTTCCTCCTTTCACGGATAAAATGAATGTGTGAATCACAGTAAGTATCGATTATCGACTCAGATTGCAGGAACCTCTGAAGTGCAACTTATGTTTTTTATCTTGTATTCTGTAGAAATTTGCAGGTCGACATTGTTACAACAGCACAAGAAAAGAAGGAGATCACTTGGGACAGCTTGAGCATCCACAGTGACAGTGGGCGCATCACTCCGAGAGACAATACGAGTAGTTGAGGAATTTTCATGGCCCGTGTTAAAAAGCGTTCGGTAGCAGGCGTTGGCAACGTTTCTTACGAAACAGCAACCATTTCGTAACTAGGTGAGTAAGGTCATGCTACTGTGAAGACTAATTCAGCAGTATCGAGGCATGGGTTTGGTGTACCACAGTGAAGGCAATACGGACAAAATTCGGATGTCCCAAGATACGATAGTGCGCATGCTGCCATTGACTCAGGAGGATCGTCGTTCCCATCGAAATAACGAATTGGAATGTGCAAAAGTAGGAGAATGAGTATATGTATGCAATAACTCAACGAAAGAAATCCACGATCATTTCCATGCAAAAGCTCGATAGACAGGCGCCTAATAGTGTGTTCTTGTAAGTTCTATCACTGGTTTTCCCTTGCTAGTGATCATTGTCCTTCAAGAGGGTCCAGAAGAATAATTGCAGCACGAAAGCAAGAGAAACGAGCAAGCAGAAGAATTCAACGTGAACGTCAGATAAAGCCGTCGTCAAGCACAAAGCGCCGACATCACCAATTCTCATCAGATATTAGGAACCTGGTCCGTGCGCAGGCAGATAACTATATAAGCTTCGCCACCAACACTCGTGTTTCCTTATTCTTGTGCTCGGGCACGTACTATCGCCAGTGAGGTCTTTACCGAGGCATAGTCTTTTGCTGATTGCAAATTACACATCCGAACCCGTCTGTTAGCTTCGGCTTTCAGCAATTTTTGGAAAACCCCATCCTTTCCCAGTGACGATGAACTACATCAGAGGGAAATCAATGCTTTGTATCTGGTTCTGAAGTCATGTATATACTTGAACATTGTTCAATAAATTATCATTTTGAACTTAAAACATTTCTGTCTGGTCTTGATGTGAAGAGCATGAATATTAGAAGACTTTATGTTAAATTGATTATCTAATTAATTTGTTGTGATATCGTGTGATCTTGATGACGATTCCTGATAAAGAAGATATGACATAATTAAATCACATGACCTGGGAATTGTTTGTGAACTCAGGTTATGAAGCTGCAGTAGAGAGGGAAGAGTCTCAGGCTGGTAAGTAACTCATTTAGTGTTATTGAAAGAAATAGAACATATGTTTTGAGGTACCTGTCGGTTACTAGAACATGAGGAAACATGGGAGGTCATGGCGCTATAGTGTAGTGGTTATCACTTGGGATTCTGAAGAAAAAAGAAAATCACGTGACGATTTCCCAAAACCCAGGTTCGAGCCCTGGTAGCGCCTTGTAAAGGTATTTTTTTTTGTTTCGCGACTTCATTCACAGCATGGGATGGTAGTCTACCAATATTTGGGACATTGCATAGTCCTTCATCTACCGAGGCAAGTACAAAACTTAGCTTTCCGCTTACTGATGCTAGAATGCTTATATCTGTAGGGAAATCAGTTCAACAGAATCGCAGTGATCCCTAGAGATATGCAATATTCACTGCAAATCGTCTCAATTGTATGATTTTCTATCTTCGAAAATCAGGTCTGCAAAAGAGGTCATATTATATGTTTTATTAGATATACCGCATCCAAAATTCAACATACTCTGGTCCAGGTATGATTCAGTTCGTTTTCCAGATATTGATATTCGCGATAGCTGACAGATGACCACCGTTTTTTAAGGTCTGTAGTCGCTTCGATTCCGGAGGAAGCGATACAGCCGCGAAAAAGAGAACAAGGTCCGAATCTACTGCTTCTCTCTCGGCGTGTACTTAATAGAACTCGCAGTAAGCTCTTGCCCTCATCATGATGCTTTAAGACAACTCTGGATCTTTGGGTTAGGTTCGAGCAGACTCTCGGCACCACTGAGTACTCTTATCCCCCTTCTAGGACCGATTTCATTGGTCATTCACCCGCAGCTAATCCAGCGAGGCTGGTAATGAAAGCGAAAATTTTTGTGGAACTTGGATACTAGTCAGTAACATTCGAAACATTTTCTGAGGAAAGTATTCATGATTTCGTTTCACAGGGTTTAATCTTGCATTTCACACTAGTTATATGCCAAGTGTACAATGTCAAGAACCAACTGATCAATTTCATTCTTCCAAGCGAAGCTTGTGTATTCACGACCCGCCTGGACAAGTAATATGTTTAAAGTTCTGTCTGGCGGAGAGGGTTTCTTATCAGTAACCGCTATAACCTTTTGGATTTGCATAAAGTGAGCCGACCACTCGAGCTTCTTGGTTCACTTTTAACTCTCCATCCATCGCTGCAAGGATCGACTCTCCAATCACCTCGACAGAACAACCACATGTCTCACTCGAAGATATTGGTGAGCCCCAGCGAAATCCTTCCACTTAACGCTGATGATAACATTCTTTCTTTTTACTTTAGCTTACGGGCGCAACTGGATACCTTGGTGGCCATGTTACGCAATGTCTTCTCAGTCAAGGTTATCACGTAAGAGCGTACGTATCTCCATCTTCTCAGTGTACAACCCTTATGCTGAACATGTAGCATCGTTTCAGAGTCGTACGATCCACTACCAAAGGAAACACTTTGAAATCCGCTTTCTCAAGCTTTGGCGATCGACTTGAAATCGTCATTGTGGGCAATCTGATCTCGGATGATCTATCGTATGCGTTGAAAGGTATGACTCTAGCATGATATGAAACTGTACTTCACATGAAAGCTGACAGCATAGCCCCACTTTTTCAGGTGTAGAGTCCGTAATACATGCAGCTGCTCCCCTCCCAGGACAAAACAATCCTGCCGAAGCTTTAGACGTAAGTAGACATTGCCTCTCGTAATCCGATATCCTTACAACTTCGTCATTCAGGTCGCAGTCAAGGGAAGCTTGAACATCCTTCGACAAGCATATAGCGCAGATATAAAGAAGTTCGTCTATGTCAGTAGCATAGTCACCATCAACCCTCTTTCCTCGGATTCTGACTATAAAGACACTAGTGAGTTCTGTTTTCGAGCTCACGTTTGCGATCAGTTGATTAATTCACATCTAGCTTGGGCGAATGTCTCTAAGGAAGACGCACTGAGTGGTAAGCTAGACCCATGGCATGTCTACGTGACTGAGAAAGTTCTCGCCGAGAAAGCCATCTGGGAATTTGCCGATATTCATCTTGACCTTGATGTAACCGTTCGTGAGTGTTTCAGGGGGGTTTCGGTTTACCCTCACTTAACGTATTTATGGAATACTCTTTCTTGACAGTCAATCCTCCATTTTTCTTCGGACCGTATCCACCAAATTATTCCAATCCAGACGCAAGTAGGTCTGCTCTCAATACAAATGGGATGATATATGCTCTCATTCGACCCCACGGCAATATCCCTATTCATCCAAGTTGGAGTGATGTTCGTGATGTTGCACAGGCAGCTGTAAACGCATTGACAGCACCGCCAGCATCCAAAGTTGGCCGAAAGCGTATTCCATTGAGTGGAGAATGGTTCAGCTTCAAAGATGCTGCCAAATATGTTGCAGAGGTTCGTCCAGAATTGAAGAATAGGATATCGGAGCAAGCTAAGAAGGCTCCACCCGTTTCGGAGAGTCAAATCGATAACTCACGGGCTCGAGAGATACTTAGGATTGAGCTTACACCTTGGAAGAAGACTGTAATTGATGCGGTAGATGATTTGCTTGAGTTAGAGAAGGAATGGAAGAGAAACTTTGCATCGCTTCATTGATATAGCTAGCTTGATGCTACCTACCTTTGTTGCTAAGTAAAGATATTTTTTGTTGTTCTACAGTCTAACAGCAGGACCCACACAACCGATGATCTTAGTAGTCGATTTCCTTTTCTGGATCTGGAGGAAATTCAAATTCATATAACGAACCTTGTCCTGCGTTCAGCGTCTCACGACCCTATCGCACTATACGACACACCTCGCTTCATTCGATAGTTTATATCAAGTCAAACAATCTATAATCATTTACATCTGATCCATTTCATCTTTAGTACTTTATTGCTCATGGACAGCCTGGACTGACATTTTCGGTCGCCCGGGTTGTGTTTCCTGAGGCCGACCTCCTTCAAATTGATCCTGAGCGTGTCAAAAGCCCAGATTATACGTACCGCACAGATGAATCTGAGGTGCCCATATGAACGAGAGCTCGGTTGTATCTGAAGTGAGTCTATCTTTTTTTGATAACTGTTCTGCTTGGCGATTGACAATGCCTTCGGGGATGGCAGCTTTGTCATTAATATTTGAACGGCAATCCTGGCGTCATCGTGTCTGCACTGAACACGAACTTAGGAGGCATGCTATACGTTATGTTATTACCTTGGAAAATTTCCGCGATCGGCCTTGCACAACTCGCCGCTAATCGTCGTGCCCGGGAACATATAAAGTTGGACCACTGTGCAGGAGGCTTCATATTTCTCATACTTTCTCCTGAACGTAACTCTTCCCCCTTCCCCAATTTATCAACCGTTGCCTCCAACTTCACATTGATTTTACTATGTCCTCGACGATATTGGTATGTTCTAATCTTGTCGTTCATGTATTGCTCACATCTGACCTTTTTCTATCCAGGTTACAGGTGCAACAGGCTTTCTAGGAGGACATGTTGTACAACAGCTACTCGATCAGGGTTATACTGTCAGAGCGTATGCCCATGCGTTTGTTTTCCCTGGTCTCTCACCCACAATATTCTTGCAGAATCGTCCGGCCCGGCAAAGGCGATAGTCTCCAGGGGGCTTACTCCAAATACGGTAACAAGCTTGAAGTCGTCACTGTAGATGACTTGATTTCCGGTGATCTTAGCAACGTTTTGAAAGGTCAGACAATGCCGAAGTTTGACGATATACTGAATTTGACTGATTTCGTATTTTTATTAGGTGTATATGCGGTCATACATACAGCTGCGCCCCTATCAGGTCGAACAAGTCCCGCTGACGCTTTGAATGTCAGATTCATTCTACTCATTTCTTGTCAGACTTTTTTTGACTGTTTCCTAGATCGCGATTGAAGGGAGCATCAACATCCTTCGTCAAGCATATGCTGCAGGTGTCAGGAAGTTTGTCTTTGTCAGTAGCGTGGTCGCCATCAACCCAATTGACCCAGAGTCGGATTTCAAGGAAACTAGTGAGTACTATCCCGTTATCTTTCCTGTCATTATCTCTTATAAAAAATTGGAACCTATAGCTTGGCCTAAGGTCTCGAAAGAGGAAGCATTGAGCGGAACAAAAAACGCATTTTATGTCTATGTGACCCAGAAAGTTCTTTCTGAGCAAGCTGTTTGGGATTTTGCTAAGCAACACCCCGACCTGGATGTGACCGTCAGTAAGTACCAAAATCATACTGTTCATAGTGTTTCTATTCCATCCTGACAAGGTATATTGTTCCCCCCCCCAGTCAACCCTCCATTCTTCTTCGGACCATTCGCTCCCAGTTACTCCAACCCAGATGCAATCAAAACATCACTCAGCACCAATACAATGATCTACGCTCTTATCCAACCAGACGGAGGCCTCCCCATACATCCAAGTTGGATCGATGTTCGTGATGTTGCACAATCACTCGTGAAAGCGTTAAAATCACCTCCAGAATCTCAAGTTGGACGAAAGCGTATTATATTGAGTGGAGAATGGTTTAGCTTCAAAGATGCCGCAGACTATCTCGTTAAAGTTCGTCCTGAATTGAAAGACAGGATTTCCGAGAAAGCTAAAGCAGCACCGCCTGTACCGGAATCCCAAATTGATACTACTCGTGCGAGGGAGGTCCTCGGTGTTGTATTCACTCCTTGGAAGAAGACTGTAATTGACACGATCGATGGTTTCATCGATTTGGAGAAGGAGTGGAAAAAGAATGGTGCAACCCTTCATTAAACATTTTCAAATCAGACTCTGGACCATGACGAGCATTTTATTGTACGTTCAAGTTGTATTCATTCTATCGCATTCTCTTTTGTTGCATCTTGCATTAAGGATGTTTTTCATGATCTTTGGATGACATCGGAATATATGCAGATATAACTTTTTGCTAGCTCTGCTCCAGATATCGATTGTGTTATTACATTGTTCAGCGGTAATTCACTCGGACGTCTACTTACCTAAATTCCTCTCAGATTTGGTTGAATAGACATTATTTCTCCATCGATATCGTTTTATCTATAATTTGTTATGGTTAGAAGATCCGAGGTAGCCGAGCGACCCACAGTAGCATGACGACTCGGATGTTTCGTAACTTTCGTCTATGCGAAGCCATAGACAGCGGTGTCTCTGACTCTATCAATGAATTGAGATCCCACCGTCAGCTATCGATAGGAGAATAAAATATTA